AAAAGCAAGCAAGAGTAGTACCAATAGTAATAGGCGCCTTGGGTGCAATCCCAAAACAACTGGAACACCACTTGAACACCATTGGCATTGACAAATTCGCCATTAGTCAATTGCAAAAGGCGGCCTTACTAGGAACTGCTTCCATCCTGCGACGATATCTGTAATACCATCAAACATCCACATCTGCCTATCCCAGGTCTTTGGTAAGGACTCGATAGGTAGACAAAATGCCAAATCCAGTCTGAACATCTGGCTGACTGTGCGATGATCCATAATAATAATATTAATATTAATGATGATGATGATGATGATGATGATGATGATGGAGGTCAGTATTTTTGTGAGCAGATGCTAGTATCAATCCATAAAGATGAGGCTATCATAAAACCACAAATAAACCAGACCTTACATGTTATCGTTTACTTTTCATTTCTTGGATATGTTTATTTTTAAAGCAGAAAGGATCTGACCCACAAACAACAACAACGGGAAGCCGTGCTTTCAAATGTTTATGTCTTGTGTTAATTTTGCTCAGTTCCCAGCTGCAAGAGCATTTATTAGTGAAATGAAGACAAGAAAATGTTTCAAGATCCGCGGAGATGACCTTCTTTGTGAAATATATGCGCTCATTATTTAAGCTACATTGTGGTCATCCCCTTTGAAATGCTTTTTAAAGAAGAACACTAAATGTCTTGCCGTATGTTTCCGTGTGTTTGCTAAGAGTCAACACCCAACTTGACGCCACAGAATCAAATACTGGCGGAATATTTCTGATGCAGCCTATTTTATTATTCTTACAATTACCACAGTTACAGTTTACAACAGACAGGGCAACACAATATTGGCCAGCTTTCTTGACACCCCCCCTTTTTTTTTTAAATCAAAAACTCCAAACTAGGTTGCAAGATGAAATATCAACGTGGTACGTTCGAATTATTCTGCAACTGTATTTTTTTTTTTAATATATCTGTCTTACCTGCGCATCTTTTTTCGTTTGCAACGTTTGCCAATTTTGTTGGTTGCGATGATGAACACAGTCAGGGCACGGTTTTCTCTTAGCACCGGCCTAAGGAGTAATCTAGGTACCTAAACAGAATTTTGGCTAAATCTATATATCCTGTTTATACATACAGGAAGCTAACGAAGAAGGAGAGATCGTGAAAAAGTTGTCAAATACTGGCCCAGTCTTAAAGCACAAGATTTGGCTTACGCTGTCTCTTCACTAAGAGGTAGCAGTGCTGTCATTCTTAAAGCCAAATTAACGGAATCAGAAGTTGCTTCTAACATTTACAGCATACCTACAGCTAGTCTGATCATCTTTTGAAACAGAAGACTGCTTCCCTGCCTTAAAAAAACAAAACCCTCAACTAGCTTTTCCTTCTTTTTTTATGATCACGGCCTTCCTTCCATAAATACATACATTCTAGATAATGGAGCAGCGGAACCCAGGACGAAGATCAAAATGTCTTCCCTTCAAAGGCCTCCAGGTTGAAGGCTGTATCCAAAAATCTCCGGAGTGAGACCAGGTGAGTGTTTTTGTTACCTGTAGCTGGAGCAGCAGCTGGCTCACGACCAACATACCTTAAGATACAAGAGGATATAAATTAGAGACTTCTCTGAAGTAGGTGTAGATGTAATAATGTCTACTTATGCTATAATGTCTGATGAATAGCTGATTGTACAGGAGATCACGAGCCACTCCGAATAGCGATCTGCTACACCATCCACATCTTACGTGGGCAACTAGACGTTCAGCCAACATTTACCCAGCTCTATGAACAAAGTGAAACACGTGGGGTTCCAAATTTCTCCAATTTTCCAAAATGCCTTCAGATCTCTTCTGTACAGTAGTGACCCAAATTGTGGAAATCTTTTGGGAAAAGTGTATTTTTGAAGTTTGATGGCTAATAACACCACTTTTGGGGGGGAGTGGTACCATAAAATTATATATCAATGGAAAGATAATTTAATCAAGAATGTAATGCAACAAGGTTTGTTCAATTATCTGTACTGTATTCTGTGAAAAGTTACAGCCAAATAACCAGAAAAAGGAAGCACAACTTGCTTAGGTTGATCTCAGGTAGCTTTCCTTCATCTGATGGTAGCCAATGAGCAGGAGTGTTTAGAGAGCCAATCGGGTGTCATCTTGCTTTGGTCATGAGCCAATCAGATCATAGTAGGAGTCAGTGACTGATGTCCTGTACTGAAGCTGAGAAGAGGACATTTGTTAGTGTGTTATGTGATGGCTATCAAGTTGGTTGGGTTTTTTTGTGTTCTTTCCTTGAGTGAGCTTGTAAAACATAATCAAATTAAAGTCATGGTGCAAAGAGTTGACTGGTCGCCCAAAAAGCGATGTAAAATAGTGTTATGAAGTGAACAAGGCTACAGTTATAAAGAAATTAGAAGAAAAATGGGTGGAAACTTAACCAAAGTTGGCATGTCTACTGTACACTTTTCCCAAAAGGTTTCCACAATTTTGGCCACTACTATAGATTGGTGCTCCAAGCAGATTCCTCCATGTGGTCTATTTAGATCCCATAGGAGTCCACCAATCCAGCTTAGAAGAAATGCAATATACTGGCTGAACATGCTCTATACACTGAAAAGTCCAGGCTTATTGCCTGGTGCTAAAGGATTTTCAGGTGATCGTTGATATCCCATGCAAGCATTGTTACCATATA